TGTGTGTGTGTGTGTGTGTGTGTGTGTGTGTGTGTGTGTGTGTGTGTGTGTGTCGGTTATAACATCACAGTCATTTGCAACATTTTCACATGCAAAATTGTAAAATAGCGTGGGCTGTTCAAACTTAGGACACCAGTGCCACACCCTTATGGAAGAAGAATATTTAGGAACAATAATACAGTACTGCCTTACTTAAATGGGTATATTATAAACTCTTTGCAAAGATCACTATTATCCCAGCAGTAATGCCCATCTGAAACATTTTTTTCCAAAAAACAAGTGGATCTAAGAATCAGACGACACACAAAGGCAAAAACTGGTAACAGCTCTGATGCAGCCTGGCAATGAAATCCATGCATTTAATGGGAACAACATGATTAAAAAAAACAAACCCAGCTTACCCTGATTTTGTATTTCGTTCCAATCCAAGGGGATCGGCGGTTTCCTCTTCCTCCACAACTTATCCATGGTTAGCAGGTACCTGATGTCATCTTTGAAAAGCTGGAAAGGCACATTGGGAAAGCAAGCCAGATAGGAAGTGAGGCCTCTTGCTTCTATTCTCTCTAAAAGCATGTTCCAGATCTGTTCGCGTCCAGTACTGAGCACAACAGCACGTTCCCTCCAGGCCCCAAGAGCAGATTTTATCACAAAGGCCATCCGTTCCCAGGCCTGCTGCACTTCTAAGCATAGGGGTCCCTTAAATGCCTCCAGCTGACTAAAATGCCAAATTATCACTATACTCAGTGGTACAACAATGGGCAAGGCTTCAAATGTCATAAGCTGCAGGGCTCAAGCACGGATCCTGCACATCTCCATCGGCAGCAACCCTCATTGCTGATTCATTTTCGTTTTTTAAGGAGTGGCTGCATGAAGTCCAAAGCGTCAATGCCAAGTCCACTGAGGAAAGAGCTTTTACCTCAAAGCCCCTCTTTTCTCCATACAGAGACTCCTTCAAAGAATGCTGGCTCAAGACCAATACCTTGGTGAAGAGCTTGACGGAATCATATCCTGTTGATTTAGCCCACTCCTTGGTCGAAACACGCTTAATATCGCCATCTTCATTAGATGCTCTTGCTCTGGCCTCGGCTTCTGCTGGCTCCCCTGTTGACAAGAAGACACTTGACGTTCGCTAGGAAGGGAATTCATGGCAAAGGGGGCGGCTCGGATGAAGCTGGCCTAGTGTGTCAAATTTCTTTCATCCACAAGGCACGTAACCACTTGGGGCTGGGGCTGTGGGACAGGACAGGCTCTTGAGCTCCACCCAATCCCCACCCAGAGCACGTCAATGAGCTCCAGGAAAAAAAAATAAAAGGAATGAAACTGAAAGATTGCAGGCTGCTCCAAGAACGAACAGTCAATTTTACACTCACAAGCAGCTTCAGGATCAGCTCTGTCAGGAGACACTTCTTGATCGGCATCTTCTTCTCCAAAGAGTTGACTGTATATTAAAACACAAGGTATGTTTTTTTCTGTCAGAGACTGAAATGTCTCTTAGCAAATTATGAACGTATTATTTACACAGACAATACTCTGCCCTTAAAACATAGGTTTGCTTCTACCCTTAAAGCCACTTGCATAAAAACATATGAACGGAGGCATGTGCATGCATGCACGCAGACAGACCTGTCTCATCCCTATTAAAAAAAACAAGAAAGGGAAATTTATCTTCCTAAAAATAGGCACGCCTGGGAGATTTTAAGAACTGAGGCATATCCACCAAATTATTTATTTGCATTGTGATAAGAGCTCAGAGTGCTTAATATTCAACAAAACTTGAGAATCAAATGAGCCTGATCAAGTGAGACCTACAACAAACTGTTGCAGTGGTACACTTTCATATTCCCACCACAGTTCATTTTGATCTTTCAACCGCTGCTTGATATTCCAGGCCACCTGAGCGCCTTGACGACTAATCACTAGTATAGATCAGACATCCTCGCACAGGAAGGCGGCCCTCAGGGCAACATACACCGCAACAGGGTAGGCCAGCTTCCTTTCGCTATGCCACCGATAAGCTCATGTGTCCCACATGCCAGCGAGCCAGCCAGCCAGATCAGGCCTCTTCTCACACCATCCCCTGCCAAATTAACTGCCACAAACGCCAGCACCTGCGCAGGTATCACCTGGTGCTCCCACACAGCAGATATGCCCAAGCAGTCAAGACCAAGAAGGAAGGCATACAGTCTAGCCCTGGTGCTTTGCAACCGACTTACTTGAACAAATACTTTGCCCACACAATGCAGTGAATAGGCTCAGAAGGGGTGTTGCGAATGGTGCAGCCGGGAAAGGTTTTCTGGGTTGGCTTGGGCTGACATTCATAACACTCTGTGACTCCCTGCGGGGAAGGCGGGCGGGGGGAGAGGGAAAGAGAGTGAGAACACATCTCTTCCATGATGTTTCCACATGTTAACTAGAGACTAAATGTGAGGGACTACAAGGCTACAGTGTACAAAAACAGGAGATTATGTCATACCTTTTTTATGACAGTTACTTGCCCAAGGTAGCCGGCGGTCCCACTTTCTATGAGGGGGACATCCGCAGCCAGGCACATTCTGTTCACATGGTTACGGGCAGCTGGGTAGAGAAACAAATTAGGAGGCAGTCACTGACTTTTGAAAAGGTCTAACTCAGTCTTTGGCAGGAAGTTGGCTTCAGTCTAATCTCCACAGTTTTCAGCCACTGTATCAGCTATGCTGCAACCTTTTTCTGTGGGGTTAGGGAAATGGTCCCTAGCTTTCCTTATGGGGCAACTGGGAATACATTCAGTGATGCAACTTAGGCTGAGTGAACCTTGAGCCAACTACCTGGGACGGAACCTGGGTCGTGAGCAGAGTTTTGGCTGCAGGAAAGCAGTGCAGTCACTGCGCCACAAGTCTAAAGACAGGAATTGCCTACGTTGTTCACTCCTTCCCCACAACAGTAAAACTTCAGGTCTTACTTGTCTCCTAGCGGGAAAGAAGAATCTCACCTCTGTTATCCAAGGCATTCATAACAAGTGTAAACTGCCGGAAAAATTCCACATTATAATCAGGGCTGCAAGGAAAGCAAGCTGCTATTTAAACATGCTTTTAAAGTATTTTGAAGGCTTTCACGGCCGGGATCTGATTGTTGTTGTGGGTTTTTCGGGCTCAGAACATGGCCAAAGAGCCTGAAAAACCCACAACAACCATTAGATCCCGGCTGTGAAAGCCTTCGCGAATACACTGTCCTTAGGAACTTATCTGTTTGGCACAAAGAATATTTTCATATCTAATAATTATAACTTCACATTTAATAATAATAATAATTTCCCAGATGAAATGCATGTTATTTAATTACCAACTCGAAGATGGTTAGAAAGTAAAGAATTTGGGAGCCTTCCTATATTGAAATGAGAGCTGCCGTAATGTGGCTGATCACTGTGCTGGACTTGGGAGACTTGAGTTCAAATCTCCAACTGGCCATGGAAACCTGATGGGGCAATGGGCCGTATTGATGAAACCACTCCTTCCATATTTCATATACCTCAGAACTCCTAAGAGATCACCCTAAGTCAGACTCAATGGATGGCCATATAAAACACATTATACTGAAATACCCTGTTTCCCCGAAAATAAGACCTAACCTGAAAATAAGCCATAGTATGATTTTTCCAGAATGTTCATAATATTAGCCCTACCCAAAAATAAGCCCCAGTTAAGTGAAACCCTGCCCTCCACCCTTGTGCAGCAAGCAAAAGAACATGATGTGACTGTATTTCAATCAATGTAGATGGTTGTACATGAAAAAAAATCAAAACATGATCTGAAATAAGCTTTACTGCGTTTTTGGAGCAAAAATTAATATAAGACCCTGTCTTACTTTCAGGGAAACACTGTACTACATATTTAGACTGGAGATACTACACACTGAAGAGCAGAAAGAGAACTAGCAAATGATGTTTGGAAGATTTTTAAGAACCGAGGTAACAAAAAGGGACCAGTTCAGTTGCCTGTGGGAAGAATCATTTCCATACAGCAATCCTTCTCTTGACAATTTTTTTTTTCTGCTGTCAACGCACAATGAAGGACTATGGCAGAAAGGGTGGGAGTAGCCACAAGTACTAAAAAGATCTGAAGGCACACTTTCATTTTCTCCTGTAGCTAGGCTTTTCGACATTTCAGACTATGAAGAACAAAGAAGTGTGACATACTTCATAACGCTGTCGTGGTAAGCTACAATATTTGCTTTTGGATGAAACTGCAGTACGCTTTCCTTGGCAACCTAGAAAAGATCAAGAACATGTAATCTAAATAAAGAAGCAAACAAGTGTGCTGCTCACTGATATATATTGTAATAAAATAATAGGGGCTGTTTTTCATCTCAAAACATAACAGAAACAGCAAGTACAACTACAAAAATAAAACTCTACAAAAGAAGTATAACCAAGGAACTAAAATTTACTAGAACTAATCATATTTATTCATTAAACAATCAAGTTCATACTATGCATGAAATAAGCCTTATAGACATTTTTAAAGATGTAGGACCACCTAGCTAGCTAGCATCAGCCAAATCTCAAAATATATAAATTAAGAGTTGAGATACCAAATGCAATTAGATAAAGCAAATTACGTATATGAATTCACATGTGATCAAGTAACTACCAACCAAAATTCTTTAGGCCACCTCACAGAATTTATATCCTCACTCTTTTAAAGTGGCATGATCAAAACTACTGAACTGAATTCTGTAAGAATTGACCTTTCAAACTGCTCTTACCTGAGCTTTTGATCTTCCGACATGCTTCTTTTGAAACAAGAATTGCCTGTTGAGGTTACTGACATCAATGGTATCCAGATCAATCTGAAAAAAATGCATAATTATAAACAGATTTGTTTGGCTTGAATTATGATTTGCCTTATCAGACCATCAGAACCTTGCAAATTATATGGGGCTGAGGGGTGGAGCATCCTCTGAGTCTGTTCAGTCAAAAATAATATTAATAACAAGATTTCCTTCACTTCAGAATACATGGAAAAGACAGAGAGGATTCCCTAGCACATGGCAAATGAGCACTAGTCCTATCCCCCTGCTGCTCTAGCTGTCCTCTGGACGGGAAGATTCAAACATGCTACCACACTCTTACGTTCTAACATTTCAGATGAGAAAGGTCCACTGCCTGTCTTGCGTCTTTTGAAACACCATATGCCCATGATTTTGTAACCAGGAATTTTTTAACATCTACTTCATTTGTGCTGTTTAAAAATGTGCTTGATTTTTTAGCCTGTCTAGACAGTAGCAACCTAATTGGTTTTATTAGCATAATAAAACTGTATTAGTCATATTCTGTCATTTGTTATCTGATCTAGCTAGCAAAAATAGATCAGCGTACTGTAGCATATTTTACTTATAGAGCAGTGTCAATTGTATTCAAAATGTGACTTTTAAAATACAGTATATCTATCAAAAATACAAGTCTTTAAAATTATAAAATACTAAGATAATCAAAACAGGTTACCATTTTAAAAAAATATAGATTAGGTTTAGATTAAATTAGGCATCCTTCAGTCTTGAGAGACTATGGTAACGTGGCTGAAAAGGCCAATTCGAGAGTGGTGAGAAAAAAGGTAAATAGGCTACTATTATTATATGATAGATTTTGTATTTCTGAATTGCTTTGGTTTTCCATTTGAATTTTTGGAACAGATTCCACTTTTGGACAAGTGGCAGAGAGGGCTCAGAAGCATCCCCAAAAGGAGGGAAAGGTGAAATACATCCGCTGTTCCATCGAAGTAAAGGGTAGCCGTGTGGTCCAAAGCAAAGTTAAATCCAAATGCAAAAACAGGCCATACCTTTATAAGCCACTAAAATAATAATCACACAATAAACGAAGCTTTTGTGGATTAAACACCACTTCACCAGGATTGCACCAGTGTGAAGAACTACAAAAGTAGAGGGCAAGACTTGTTTTTTTTATTTTGGCCAGGAAAGCTGCTGCCTAGCAAGTCCTTGTTAAGGCCGAACTGAATCCAGGGCAACCAGCTCTTAAAGGGCATCAACCCACTCTGGCTTTCAGGAAGCTGGCATACAATTATGATGATAATAGGATCACGGACTCCACGGGGGGCTCGACCCCCACGCCTTTCCTCACACACACCCCCATAAACACACACACACACCCGAAACAGGGGTGTGTGTGTGTGTCCACGAGAAGGGCCACCACCTCCTCCTCCTCTTCCGATAGACTCCTTCTACCCTAGGAGGCTCCACGCGGCCCCGCCCCCTTTCTCCTGCCCCCCCCTCCCCCGGGAAAGGGG